CATCTAAGGGGAGAAGTCCTTCGAAAAAACAGAGACGAACTCTGGAAGGGAATACTTGGCGAGCAGAAACGGAGGAACAATTCTTTGCTCTCTGCAAAGAAAGATGTCCCACCGATTACGTCACAAAATAACCCCAATTAAAAACATTTTCCAGGGATCATTACAAAAGAGAGAGGCCCCCATATACTAGCCCTTTTAATTCATTTCCTTTTTTAAATGAAGAAGTAAAAAAATGGGCAGAAATAATATTTTGTTTGTAAGTCGAAATTGCGTTCAGTACGAGTTATGTCAAAATTGCTGTTTCTCGTTTGGAGGGAAGACGATTTCCTTAGATTAGGGATACACAAAAATAATATAAACAATTTATATACTGACGAAGAACTCTCCTCCTCCTCTGATAACAGAACCAGACAGCAGAGGCCCTCCGCCAATCTCTCTCTACCTCGAAGGACCCTCAAGAACAGGCAAAACGGCCTGGGCCAGGAAAGCCTCGGACGACACATTACTTCTCCGACAGAATAAGCTTCAAGGACTACGACCAAGACGCCGTCTACAACGTCATAGACGACATCAAATACTCGAAGTCCCTACCGAATTAATGAAGAATTAGTAGGCTGCCAGAGAGATTTCCATGTATTTGTTAAGTTCCAACCAGATCTCACTATTAGAGGAGGAATTCCTTGTATTTTATTAACAAATGGGGACAGTAGTTGTTAGATGCAATGTCCCCATTAATGAGAGAATGGTTTGATGTTAATGTGACCACTAGTTAATGATTAATGAAAAAATTTATTAATTTTATTTATGAAACCGCTCAAAGTTTTATTTACTTACTACATTTCCCTTATCATCCACTATTACATCTTGAGTCACATCCCTATTTTTTACACTGATGATTACATTTCGTAAAACATTAGAAAATTCTGTTGCATCCATAACAATTGATCCTCTACGATCAACTTCCTCTTTGCTATGTCCAACCTCTGAAATCGACGGACCAGGATCAACATCACTAGATTCATCACCACCTCTGCGTACATCAATCTCTGACAAACTCAGACGACCTCTGCGTTCATGAATAACTGAACCACTTTTCCCAAAACCTCCTAACAACAAATCTCTTCGCCTCTCCGGTAAACCAACAGACTTGGTCCGTGTCAGAATCGGAATGGCCTTCGTTGGAGGACAATGCCAGACATCAACATTATCATTAGTATATTTTTTAGATAACACAACAATAGAGGGGGCCCTCATTTGCGAATCTTCTGGCATGTCACTTGTAGAATACTTTAGATACCCCTTCATTTTACAATACGTAACCCCCCTTTTAATATTGGAATTTTCAAGTCGATAGTTCACCATCCATGGCACCTGTTTGTCGTTAATTGAACAATAACCATTCCCATAATAGACTAGCTCGCATTGACAATCTACTGGGAAAATAAACCATGCCTGCAAACTGTCATTACCGTCTAACCTCCGATCATAAACATTTACTCTGACCAACCCACTAGCATTGGGTGCGCAAAGGGGGGAATATTTTATCAATATTTTATCAACCTTAATACTTTTTTGTTTGTATCTTAACCTCAATTGAGAAAATAAATTAGGCAACGCAAGTTCAATACAACTGAAATCACTTGCCGAAACACCTTCAACAACCCCACCCCCAAAAGCCGATCGGCAGCAGTCCTGGTTTCGCCTCCTTCTCCCTCCAATCGCCTAGACACTGTTGGAGCGTGGTAGATGACAGTCTTCAACTTGGTCCTTTCTCTCTCTCCTTGGGCCGCAGGCCCCTCCTTAGGCCGTTGCTCTGCTCCCTCCTCAGGCCCAACCGACCCACCTTCCACTTGTATATCAGGGCCCATGGCACTCATGTGTTCTTTTTCCACTTTGGCCCCTTGACCTTCATCCCGTTGCACCTCTGGGACAACCAACCCTTCTGGAGTAACCCCCACCCCCCCTTCCATTGCCTTCTCCGCCATAGGCGTGTCCTTGCCACCAACCCTCATTTTCTTCGAACCGAGCGCATCCTTAGCCCCCTCAGTTGCGACCCTCCTCTTCTTCGACCTCTTCAGCCCTGCCTCCACCTCTCGTCTGCCCCTCTCCTTTAGTGGGTCTATGGGTTATGGCAATGGGGCAAACTCAATTAGGTTCTTGTCCCCCAAAGGCTTAAGGTGAGGTCAAATCCTCTCCTTCACTACCAATTTCGGAGCAGGCCCCAAGTTTGCCTCTTTATACTTGTCCGCTCTGGCGAATAATCTCCTCTCATCCTCCTCCTCCGCCTTCTTCTGCACCTCCAACTCCTCCATTGCCGGATCCTCCCCCAACGATTACTGTCCCAAGTTCAGGGCAAACAACGTTGAAGGAAGGACCAGCTCATCCTACCTCACTCCTTTCTCTTCCCTCCATTCCCTCACCCTCTTCACTCAGTCCTCAGCTGCCCTGTCCAACTTGGGCTCGACTGACTTGGTGGGGACCTTCCACGTTGTGCGCACTCCTGCCCCACCGTTCGCCATCACAAAGAACCATCTCAGCCTCCACCCCTTTACCGAAGATAGAAGATCCGCCACCAGACCTCGCCCCGCCACTGTTTGCAGAGTCACCGAAGTCTCCTGCTGACCAGAGGCCTTGTAGCAGGAGAAGAACTCATCTACTGTCATTGTCGTCCCTCCGGTCGCCTGCTGCCAGGTACTTGCGCATGCCATTACTATCTTCCAGGCGTTCAACATTAGCTACCCCGGCGCTACTTCTAATTTGTTTAGCACATCCACCACTATTTTGGGAAGAGATAGTCTCAAACCCCCTCGCAATGCTTCCTCGTACAGGCTGAATTCGCCCGGCCGCACATATGACGCCCTTTCCTTGGATGTGAGCAACCTTAATCCTATCTCCAAGGGAATTTGGTACTTCCTCCTTATTCCCTCCAACTTCTCTGTCGTAAGTATGGATCTATCCGGTTTGGTGTGCCAGTGGTCCGGCTCCACCTGACTAATAGGTCTCGCGGCTGCAATCATTGTCTTGGGGCGAGCCCGCACCGCCTGACTCGCTACCTCCCCCTTCCTTCGCTCCGTACGATATTGTTCCGCTAAATCCACCGCATCGTCGTCGCCTAATGGATCAACCCTTGCGGGTGCTACCTCCTCTTGGGCTATTTCTCTTATGTGTCTGCGAATGGCTTCGGATACGGGCACAATAAAGTTCACAAAGTGTTGCAGGGGTGTATCACTGGAAACGAAAGAGTTTACTTCTGGAACGTTTTGATTTTCTGCAAAAAGATAGGTAAAGCGGATAATACCAAAAGCCCAAGGTTTGCATATATTCCAAGGGTCACAATTAAATTTTGCCAATTTGAAAATTTTCAAAAATCCGCCAAAACTGTCTTTTCAACACCCTATATTAACCTATCGCTTCATTTCTTGCTCAACGCCTAACCTTTCCCATTACGAGATTCCACCACGTGTACGACCACGATCTACTGCCCCCTTCCCCTACCCCGTCTTTTCCACTTCAAATCACTACGTGCCTGCCACTCCTCGAGCCCCGCGCACCGCCACTTGCCCCTCCACTCGATCACCCTTCGCGGTCAGCCCTCCTCATAGTCGGACCCTCCACTCGGTCACCCTTCACGGTCGGCCCTTCTCATGGTCGGTCCCTCCACTGGGTCACCCTTCGCGGTCGGCCCCCCTCATGGTCGGTCCCTTCACTCGATCACCCTTCGCGGTCGGCCCCCCTCATGGTCGGTCCCTCCACTCGGTCACCCATCGCAGTCGCCCCTTCTCAAGGCCGATCCCTCCGCTCGGCCAACCATCGCTATCAACCCACCTCTCGATCGATCTTCGCCCCCCCGGTCTTTCACAACCATCATCTTCTTCATTATTCCCTTCGTTGGACTAAAGCTGCACTTGAGAATGGGGGACTACTGACATGGGTAAGCCCATAAAGGTTATAGCCCACCACTTAGGGCCCAATACATAATTCAAATACTAAAGCCCAGCGTTGCTGGAGCTCAACATGGCATTAAGAACCAATGGCATCTAAACACGTGGCAAGAGAAGGACAGGCCACATAAGCAGACAAAGATCCTACAAAGTTATTGTAATGCACATCAGCCATTAATGAAGTCCCTTACAACATTTATTGCGATAACCCCTCCCCATCGAGACAGAACGGCCTCACCATGAACAAGGTAAGCTAGAGTATAGACTTTCGGCCAAGATGACAAGTCGAAAGGGACAACGAAATGATTACCAGAGGATATAAGCAGACGTCGAAGACAAGAAGAAAATTAAGCTCTCTATCTCTAATCTATCTCTACATTCCATCTCTCTTTCTAACTTGCTCGTCGGAGGGTTCGCTGGGGGACTCCCCATTCCCCGTCGAACTTTTGTGCAGGTTCCTCTGTGGGCTTGGTACCTCGGGCACTGGTTTGGGAAGCGTGGATCAGTCCGACCCGTTCCATCCGGAACATGTTGTATCATCATATAACATTCCTCATACTTGTAACATTGTCATTGTTCTCTTTTGGAGTTGTGTTTAGCCAAAGAAGAATTTGTATATAAATAATCTCATGCTGTGTTTAAATGTTAAATTTAGATAGAAATTTTGTAAGAAAAATAAATAGGAAGTAAAATGAGAAAGAAATATAAGTTAATTTTATTTTCATTTCTCTTTGAGAACCTCATAAATAATAAGTAAAGGAATTCTTGATTTTGTACTAAAAAAATATTTACTTATTTATTTTTGGATAAGCCTATCTCTGTCTGTCCCTCTCTTGGGTAAGGATAAATTATGAGTTCAATACATTCAGTTTTGGATAGTATGATATCAAAATGCTTTATTCATTTATCTATGTTCAATTTTTATTTTTATTTTATCTAAATTTCAAAAATGAAACTAGTGGGTGGTTGTGATGGAATGGAAGGACCTGAAACATCACTACAACCACTCGTTCCAATCGGACCAAACCAATCAGCCAAATCAACTCATCTTTTTGAATCTAAAAAAAAATCAACTGTTCTTCCTTTTTCCACCAAAAAAAACAAAAGAACTTTTGTTGAATTTCAAAACAATGCACTCTCTTCCTCCATTCCACCTCCTCCGACACCCTCCTCCTCCCCCACCACCACATTCCATGGCCAAGAATCTACCTGAATAATCCCATACTCTCTTTTCTCTCCACCACCTCTCTCACTTCTCTTTCCATCATCAAGTCATGAGTCCCTCTTATTGCTTATCTTCTCCCAGAACCACCATAAAACCAGAAGCTTTCCTCCTCCACAACAACTCTCACCACCTCCATGTCTCCACCAGACACCACTCTCTCATTTTCAAGCCAAACCAACCACCCCCAACACTCAAAACCTGTAAACTCACACACCCTTTTGCTTCCTTATCGTCTTTCGCCGAATCAGAAGGCCAAGAAATCAAATCGAAAGACCCACCACAAGAAGATTCGACACCCTCCGGGTTAGCACAGGCCTTTGGCATTTCGTCGAGCACCGCGTCTGCAATATCGATTTGCATAGCAATTGCTGCTCTGACACTCCCATTTTTCATGAAATCATTGGGTCAGGGGCTGGGATTGAAGACGAAATTGCTGTCCTACGCGACTCTGCTTTTTGGGTTCTACATGGCTTGGAATATTGGGGCCAATGATGTTGCTAATGCCATGGGGACTTCGGTGGGTTCGGGGGCTCTGACGCTCCGGCAAGCGGTGTTGACTGCGGCGGTGTTGGAGTTCTCTGGAGCTTTGTTGATGGGGACTCATGTGACAAGTACAATGCAGAAGGGGATACTTGTTGCTGGTGTTTTTCAGGGGAAAGATAATCTGCTTTTTGCTGGTTTGCTCTCTTCTTTGGCTTCTGCTGGTACTTGGTTGCAGGTGCATTTCTGTCCTGTCCTGTTTTCATAGTATATAATTCTCAAATGAGTTAAATTTCACTTTTATATCACTAAACTATCAATTTCGTCTAATGCCTTGTTTTGGAACTACACATTTTAATTAAAAAATTATTAAAACAGCCTGTTATCAAAGTATCTATTTAATCTATTAGAGTTTTGATTTTGGCTAATGTGATTTAACGAGTGAGGGTGTGGGGGATGGGTTATGGCAGGGGTTTGGCTTCGGCTGTTGTTTAATATAGTGTGAGTAAAAATAAATGAGTTTTGGTTTAATATAGTGGAAGTAAATCAATAATGGTGGTCAGTGAAAGCCTAATCTAATGGACACAGATGTAATTTTAGACGGGTTAAAAAAAAAGAAGACAAAATAGATGAAATTAAATTAATAATTTAAGAATAAAATTTTAAAAAATGATAATAATTTAAGGGATAACAGGGAATTAACCCTTCTGCCATATAAGGCTTTATATTTTGATTGGGCAAATTGTAATATTCACCCTTTTATCATATGCATTCTAGTTATGTCATTTCTTTCTTTAGTTATGATCAATTTTTTTCTTTAGTTATGACTCATGTTGGGTTTAATTATGATATTTTCTTTTTTAATTATAACTCATAAAATTAAAATTATATTACTTTATTTTTTAGTTACAAGATACATATGACACACTGGTGTGCACTATAGTCTTGCCTCTTTGATTGTTGGATGTTACCTTTAGTTCACTGCTGATATGGTATTGTGCCTGTTTGACATAAATTATTTTCAGCTTTCAGCTTAATTTAAGCTATTTTTGATGTGTTTGGTTTAGCTTATAGCTTTGTGGAAGTCAGAAATCAGCTTATTCTTTGAGTGGGGCAGGAGATGCTTTAAGAATAAGCTGGAAATCAACTTAAGCTGAAAATTATAAGTTATAAGCTGTTAAGGCATAAGCTATAAGCACTTTCGCACAGTTCTACCAAACAGGGCTATTGTAACTTGTAATTCACCCTTTTATCATATGCATTAGTTATGTCATTTCTTTCTTTAATTATGATCAATTTTTTTCTTTAGTTATGACTCATGTTGGGTTTAATTATGATATTTTCTTTTTTAATTATAACTCAGAAAATTAAAATTATATTATTTTATTTTTTAGTTACAGGATACATATGACACACTGGTGTGCACTATAGTCTTGCCTCTTTGATTGTTGGATGTTACCTTTAGTTCACTGCTGATATGGTATTGTAACTTGTAAGGGGAATGATTTGTGCTGTTAATGACTTGGTGGTTTATTTAGAAGGCATGTCATCACCATCAAGCCTACAAATTAAGAGGTTTTTGCAAATTTGTCGTTTTCTTTCTAGTTCAAACTAAACATTAATCCAGGTGCACGAGGCTGCTGAAGTAGTCTTTTTGAATTAAGAGGTTTTTGCAAATGTGTTGGTTTCTTTCAAGTTCAAACTAAACAGTAATTCAGGTGCACGAGGCTACTGAAGTAGTCTTTTTTGGAAATAATAAAAAAAAAAGGCTACTGAAGTTGTCTAAGAAGGGTATATATACACACAACTACCACATTTTCATTTACATTCTTTAATATTGAGTTTGAAGTCCGAGTTAAATTTATTCTCTTTTTTTATTCTTATTTGGTAGTCCAAAAATACGGTCACATGGTATTTTATGATGGTATAATTGGTGAAAAAGTGGGGTATTAATTATTTGTGTTGATTGATTGAAAAAAATGAAAGGACATGGTAATGATGATTGATGAGAGACTATGTCCACCTGATACTATGAAACTATTGTGTGATTTTTCCTATTTTTCTCACTCAAGAAGTGTCAACTTGATATGCATTGTTAAATTCATTTTCTAATAGTTTAAAATTTTCGGACTACTCAAAATTTAACATGACATCAATATTATGGTTCTAAAAAATCTTGATTTCAGCTCTTCTTGCTCCCTTATTTGTCATTGTGCACTGTTTTTTGTCACGCGGGAGTGGAAGTGTTAGCTTGATATACAATTTGGAACTAATTTCCTAGTAGATTAAGCATTTGAGACGATTGATGACTTAATAGAATTAGGAATGACAACGTGCCGGAGATTACACTCCCCGTTCCCGATCTCCAAAGGTATCATTGTCCCTGTCCCTACCCTCGATCCCCGGTGGGGAACTAATCACCCCCCCTTTCCCTCCCCAACAGGGATCGGGTTTTCCCCAACCTCGAAAAATCTCCGACCCTTTTTTTTTTTCTTTGAATTTTGCATATCCCATTTTATTTCTTTTTTTTTTTAGACAAATAAAAATAATATATATAAAAGCATACTCCAACAATGTCCAAACATAAACATCCAAACAATAACAACATGATAAAAAAAGATACAAAATAACATCCACACCACACCAAAAAAAAAAAAAGATTCAAACACCACCCGTGAACCTAAATCCTAAAATGAATCAAAAAATCCCTAGAGAAACACGCGCACGCACACACACACATATATATAGGGGTATAATAGTAATTTCAGTTTGGAGCGGAAACAGGGATAGGGATGGGCAAGGGAACCTATCACCGTCACCGTCCCCGGCCCGAAAGTTGTAGGGAATTCATTTTCGAATACTATTCCCTGCCGTCGGGGGTATTTTTCGAAGAAAAATCGTTCTAATCGAGGTCGGGGGGCCAATTCTCCGTCGGATTGGGTTCAAATTGCCATCCCTAAATAGAATACATCTGAAGTTGACTCAACTAAAAATCCCAATGTCTCGAAATATAGATAAGTATAGGCAAAATTTATTTTACACTCAATCCCATTTTGTTCCTTGACCGTTTAATTGTCACAGTCAACTCTATAAATTTTGAGTCAAGTTGCAATTGAGCCTACTCATATACCATTTGTTTCGAAAACTGACGAAGAGACTAAAGTGGATCAACTAAAGTGGGATTTTAGTAAAATACAATAGCGTAATTAATACTATCATGTGACTAGTCTCCATTAGTTTTTTGAAATTTCATTATACTGATGGGTCTAATTACAACTTGACTCGAAATTTAGAGAGTTAGCTGGAATAACTAAAAGATCAGAAAGCAAAGTGTGATTCGTTGTAAAATATTGGGGTATAAAGTAAAATTTACCTCCTAAGTGGTGAATATCCAACCAAAAGTTAAAAGTAAGCAATGCGATCCTTCCCAGTCAATATTGCAATAATGTGGGTGAATTACACGAAAACTTCCTTTTAACTATTTGTGAGTATCAGTTTAACCTTTTAATCCATGAATCCATTCAACTTGACTCTCTCAACTATAAAAATTATACAAATACATAGGAAGGCTAGAGAGGATAGTGATACATTTTCATAATTAAAAGAGTCCAAATATACTGGTTCATACATGATGGGTGTAAGTTAATTTTCACAAGTAGCTGAATTAACCCTAATAATGTTCACAAGACTCTTGAGAGCTACTCATACTACTGATTTAGAATCAAGATCAAGAATCCTTCCTTTCGAAAATTTGCACCAAAGAAAGATCACTAAAACTTTCTCCAACCAGAAGCTCTCTCTTCAGAGCACTCTGCTCTTTCTCAGTGTTCTTGGATTCTTCAGCTGTCATTTTCTGCATCGAATAAAAATTAGCACTTAATCGCATACTTGTTGGGGGATTACTCATGTATCGGTGATGACGTTAGATAAATTTATGAATTTTGAATGGTCTTAGTTGACTCTTAGTTCGAATATCCTTTTGTTTATGTATTACTCACCTTGGATTAAACAAAAATGGAGTCAATAACAAGAACTCTGCTGACTGTGACACATTTTGTACATTCTCTGGGGAGTTGATAATAGCTAGGAATTTTGAGGCAAGAAAAACCACTTTTTATGGAATCATAGAGGAGCTGAAAACCAGAAAGGGACCATTTTATTATTTTTCAATCTCATGAGAATATGTTTATTTGCTTACAAAGTTCAAAGAAATTCATATTTTCTTTCTGCTGCTATAGTTGAGTCCTCAACTGAAGCTATAAGATCAATAAACTTCCTTAATCTACCAGATTTAAAGAGAAAAATCTAAGATACCTCGTTAAATATAGGGGGTTTTTCTTATAGGGTAACAATTTATGATTACTACAGATTCTTGGAAAGCTACATCACATGGTATAGCAAAGAAAGAGAGTAAGAAAAAAGTTGCTCAATTATGCCCTCTTTAACAGATTCATCCACTGGCATACTAGTTTACACTCCTTAATTACCGATTAATGATCCATGAAACTGCGTAAGTTTGCACATCTTTGATGTCACTTTAATGTATCTGCGACATCAAAACAAAGGTAGCAATGCATACATTTAAACATTGTTGATATGATTCAGTGTATGTGGAGTTTAACCCTTTCTTTCTTCCTCCTCTTGAAATTTTGAAGCATACAAGGTTGAATATTAAGGTTAATGTTGTTTGCACAAATTTTCTACTTAAATAACTTCAATGAACCAGACAACTCACCAAAAAAGTCTTTCAAAACTGGAATATCTTCTGAGTTTGGAGTGACACACAAAAAGGCATGACAATCTATGTAGAAAGGTTGCTTCAGTAGTAAGAAAGACATAGAAGTCAATTATCATGATAAACTTATTTCAAGTAAGAAACTGGAGCTCTTTGGTGCATATGCTTTGACCTGTATTTTCTCGTGTAATATGAATCAATTGCTCTGTTCTAGTTTTTTTTTTTTTCCCCCTTCATAATTTGATGATTTACCGTGTCTATTCAGGTTGCGTCATATTATGGTTTGCCTGTTTCCACTACACACTGTATTATTGGATCCATGGTTGGATTTGGCCTTGTCTATGGGGGACCTGGCGCAGTCTTCTGGAGTTCCCTGGCGCGGGTGACTGCATCCTGGGTGATCTCACCTTTAATGGGAGCAATGATGTCATTTCTTGTCTACAAATGCATCCGTAGGGTATGTTCTCATCACTTTAACACACTGTATAAGAGCAAATTCATTTAATTCTAAACCCGATTACTTTTTCTTAGTTTGTTTACAGTGCTCCAAACCCGGGACAAGCAGCTGCTGCAGCTGCACCAATCGCTGTCTTAGTGGGCATTACCGGAATCTCATTTGCCGCCTTCCCTCTTAGCAAAACCCTTCCTATAGCTCTGGCCCAGGCTCTAGCCTGTGGCACTGCTGGCGCAATTGTCGTTGACAGAATCATCCGGAGACAGCTTGGTCACCTCCTTATCAAGCCCGGCTCACCAGAGTTAGAGCCAAAGGACAACATTGTCCAAAACAAAAACATCGGGTTTCTTACAGATGTTGCAGGCCCTAAAGGTACCCAGCTGGAAATAGTTTATGGTGTGTTTGGCTACATGCAAGTCCTATCCGCCTGCTTCATGTCATTCGCCCATGGCGGAAATGATGTCTCCAATGCAATTGGCCCTTTGGCTGCCGCACTATCAATCCTTCAAGGTGGTGCAAGCGGTGCCGAGATTGTTATCCCTAATGACGTTCTCGCTTGGGGAGGTTTCGGGATTGTTGCAGGGCTTATGGTGTGGGGGTACAGAGTGATATTGACAATCGGGAAGAAGATAACAGAACTAACACCTACTAGAGGGTTCGCAGCTGAGTTTGCGGCCGCTTCTGTGGTTCTCTTTGCATCGAAGTTGGGCCTACCCATCTCGGCAACACATACTCTGGTCGGTGCAGTCATGGGAGTCGGGTTTGCAAGGGGACTTAACAGTGTTAGGGCAGAAACAGTGAGGGAGATTGTGGCTTCTTGGGTTGTGACAATACCAGTTGGTGCTATTGTCTGTGTTTTCTACACATGGATCTTGACTAAGTTATTGTCAAATATACTGTAAGGGTATATTCAAGAGACAAATATCGCAAACAGAATATGTCATCTGTAGGAGTTCATATTTTTTTGAAGTGGACTGGTCGAATGATTATATTTGAACATTTAGCTTGATTTCCTGCCCAGGTTAAAATCACTACAATTTGAATTTAGAGAACATGAATAATATTTGGTAATGAAATTGGTTTCTTTGTTTCATTCCACTCAATATGCAGTCTCCCTCTGGTGTGTGTGCACTCGCACGTGTGTGTGTGTGTGTGTTGAATATACTTCTAAGTACATCTATCTACCTCTAAGTAAGAATGAAGGTTTCTAAATACATCTATCTGCCTCCCTCTAAGTAAGAACGAAGGTTTTTTATGTTGTAATTCGCCACATCTCAAACACCAAAGCATCATAGCACGAGCAGTGCATAAGGGAAGTTGAAATTCAAACAGTATCATCATGCTAAATCGGCACAGGTTGAAACAACACTTTCTTGTAACCGAAAAGAACGGAGAAAAGAGACTACTTCAAAATCATTTCTCAAATACCATGTCAACATGTTTCAAATGCATATTGCTAGTCTGAATTTCAAGTATCCAAAATAACGACCTAAAGGAATTGAATGTATCATTTACGTTAAAATTTAAAATGTAAAAATTCTGCCGGGCATATTGTATGTTCACCATGATATCCCATCTATACTAATTAGGTTCAATACAAAGTCCATCTTTTATCTTCCTAGTAAAATGTCTGACAATTGGAAAATCCAACAAAGAACAGGGTCTCTAATCCAAAAGGCAAGGCCATAAGTAAATTATCAATTAAAAGAGTACATAGAGACATTTATTAGAGCAAATCTCATTTGTTGCTTTCGTTTTAGCAATTGCAAACAAAAGCAGTACAACCGCATGGAAAGATAAACATACCGGGATACATTGCAAGAACTCAGAACCTTCAGATATCACGTAAAGGAGTCATGGAGATATCTCCTGTACAGAAGGTAATCTGGGCTCCCATCCCAATCCCCTCCTTATCCCCGGCTTTTGGATGGGAGGTACAAATAGCTTCTTCCCTTTTTGACATTTTGTCGGCAAACATCGAGACCATCTTTCTCTAGAGACATAAAAGTCCTTCGCAGAACGAATAGGTGCCTCTGAACAACCTCCACTTACATCATCAACAATCCTCTTGTATAACACCAATTCTTTGCCTTCAGTAGATTCTTTTACTTTACGCTTCTCTGAGTGTTTACGCTTCAGTTTCTTTACAGTTGTCAATGGGATTATATAATATTTGTGCCCGAGCAACAACTTTTCTTCCCCCAATAAAAGAGATTCGTGGGGATATTTGAAAACTTCTGGTCTGGCCACACACATCCCGGGATATTTTTCCATTAACTTAGATGCAGGAATTTCAGTTTGATACAACTCTTCATGCCCACCCGCGTGCATTATTCTCACAGTAATATCCTTCAATTGCACACTTAAGTCCACTGAAATGGAAGGGGCCGCCAACAATCTCGTTTTGCTGGATCCACCGTTGCTGGGCTGAACTGACCCGAACAAACAAGCCAAACTCTTCAACATAGCCAACAACCAGAAGGCCCCCACTCCAGTACGGAATTCTTAGCATTGTAATCTGATGTCGGTGGAAGTGGTGAAATCAACTAGATCGAGCTATTTGAATATGACATGAGCATTATCCACTTTTTCGTTTTTCATTGCCGGCTTTCTCTATTTTAACATTTTCTCATTCACCCAAAAAAAAAAAAAAAAAACATTTTCCCAGATGATAAGATTGATAAATCCAAGGCTTAGCACAAAAGTTATATCATTTTCTTTGCATTTTCCCCAAGTGAAAACCCAAGTTGGTCATGTCGAAAAATGAAAGAAGCATCTTCCACATTTTAGAAATAACTTGTCGATTTAGACTTTTGCCAGCTCTGCAAACACATCCTCAAGCTAATATCATAGTCCCATAGGCCAGACAAGACCTGCCGTTCCAATTTCTTACTCCTCCCGCTGATCCAGTTGTTGTGGAGAACGAAACAGCCCTTCTTTTCACAAGTTGCTCTCACATTTTTTCCCTCCCAGAGACCTTTGTATGCACCATTTGGAAAGAGGTTTCTGTCCAAAAAATGAACAGTTAGATTTGTTTCAGGTTCCAAGCATCGGTTATCACCCACACGATTGGATCCACCTTCCCCGCATAATGTGTCGTAGAAGCTTGGCTGCTCTGAAAGATTGGAACTAGCTGCATGCTTCACTACCTTTTCCAATGCAGCGACTGTTGAACCATCACTGCGAACAAAGTAGAAGCCAGAATTCAAGCGTCGAGGCAAGTTTATGGGTCCTGTAGATAAAATGCCAAGAGTCCCAGCAAAGAAATTTAGAGTTGAGATCTGTACTTCAAGTAACAACCAAATGGATGATTCCCTAAATATTTGTCTAGTAAATGTATTGTTAACACTATTTTAGACGCCAATTCCAGATGAATCTGTCCTCATCTATATCAGTTTTTCTAGTTACTTTCTTTAATTCCTCACTTCTTCTTTTTTTACTTTCTTTTTATTTTTAATGATTTTTTTTAAAAAAATAGTGTCAAAATTTTTACTTTTCGAGTCTATATAGTCCAGAAGAATCTACAAATCTTGAAAAAAAATTCAAAAAAGTTCACTAAAGATTAAAAAGTCAATTTTTTTAGTTCTTTTTTTTCTTCAGTGGACTTTTTTCATCTATATATATATATATATATATTTTTACTTTTCAGGTCCATCAAGACTAGTAAAACCTAAAAGTGAAAAGTATTTTGAAAATTTTGAAAAAAAAAAATCACTAAAAAAAAATGGTAAAATAGCGATTGCCAAATCCACTCTTAGGATTCTCAGAATCATCACCTGTTTTGTTGTATTCATCAGACTGAGCAAGGAGAAATGCAGGCCCAAAAGAGTAGAGAAACGGCAATGGATTTTTAAACCAGTATACATCAACATCACTCATAAGTACATTGTATCCCAGCTTGAGTATCTGCAGAACCACTCTGGACTTCACTTTTGTCACTTTCTGAAAGCAAGTTGTTCCAAAGTGGCAGTCATTAAAGCTGATGTTGGTTGGAGCAAGTGAATCCTTGAAAACAGGTAGACCCTAGCAAAGCATATATCATTCAAATTCAGAGAGAGAATAAAACCAAAAATGAATATATAAATGAAAATCAGAAGTAAGATATCCTTAGGGCTATCTACATATGAATTGAAACCTAGTGCAAACCAAAGGCAAAAATTAGGGTGAAAGTGAAAGGGGATGGACAATGAGAAAGCAGATTACCTGCAAGAGTGAGAATTCATAAACTTCATGGTCAAGAGCACAGACAACAAAATTTGAGATCATGAGGTGGCGTAATCTGCAGACCCAACTCATAAGCATGTCCTTGTAACTATATCCCGTGACTGCAAGCACAATCGTTTTGTCCTGGTCCGCAAGCATTGAAAGGAGCATTTCTAGGGAGAATGGAAGAGATGGTGACATTGATGACTTCAACTGGTCCTTCACATAGCAGTCCCTAGTTCTATCTAGTGATTTAAAATCATTAACACAATCCACAATTTTCTTATGTTTCTTTAGTTTCCTTAAGCTCAATGATCTCTGGTATCCCAATGGGTAAACAATGCTTTCTGCCGAATTCACAAAAAGATATCGTCCATCGCACTTTAAAAATCTAACCATGTTTGAGTAATTAGCTTCATGGAAATACAATGATCCATACAGAGCCCCAAGATGGGCATTCCCCACATTCTCCCAACTTTTCTTTCCAAAACTAGTAAAATTGGAACCTCTGAATGATTGATCAGACATAGGGTCAGGGCCATTCAAATAGAAATTTGAGATGGCCCAACTTGCATCAAATACAAATCTAAAGTCCGATGATAAGGCCTCATTAATGACCCAATGGTTATGAATCCCCTTTCCAAACAAGAAAGGAGGAAGGACTCCAGTATGTAAAGGAAGATCTCCATTGTTCCATGCCAGAAGCATCCTCTCCTCACAATGCTTCCGCTTCCAAGCCTCAGCAAGAAGTCCCTGCAACTGATGGAAGAGAGTACAATTTTATTGGAAGTTTCCCCGAAGGCCATTCACCTTGAATCTGTATAACATTCCTCCATACCTGTTTGGTTCTAATCCATGTACCATCCTCTCCTAGCCAATGTTTTCCATCTTCATCCAAGTGAAATGGGAAGTAGGATAAATTGCGTGATGAAACAACAAGAAGCCAATCATGGTCTAGTTTGTGAGCATAATTAAGGGTTGAAACAAAGTCAGGCAAGAGAATGGTTTCAGGATCAATAACAACCGAAATATCAGATTTGGATGCCAGTGATCTTGCAACCATTGAGTGAAAGAATGGGGTACCTAGGAACCTACACAAAAATGGTCAGAGATCAGAAGACAGAAATTTCAATTCGCCGTGCAAATTTAGCAATAATGACTTCAGCATTTTCAGAAGAGCACAATAGAACCAACACTTGTATTGTTATATTTGATTATATCATCTTGCAAATATTCAAATATACATCTTTTAAGTAGGGATAACAGCATCCCCTGCCCTGCCCACGCATCTCTTGGTCGACCTCACATGGGTTTCCCCTGTCCTGATAAAGAAGCAGGGTGAGGATGGGTTTCCCTCCCCGTGTCCCATTCTACGCCGCCCCTGCCCCCGTCTTGATTATATTTATTAAATATTTTTGTATATATATAATTAAATTTTCCTTAAATATAGTAAAATAAAACCCCAAAATATTACACTTAACGCTCATAATCACTACTTTTATCTCTCATCTTACATTTTTAACTCTGATCACTTATCAATCATTATCTATTATCTATAATATATCATATCATATCACTTTTATTACTACGGTAATTCATAAAGTCGCAAAATTAACCCATCCCCACCACTTCACCAATTTGCCACGTCTCCCATATGATTTGGTATGGGGCACTACAAACTCGTCCCATCCCTGCCCTGTCCTATTGTCTTTTTCTTTCTTTCTTGTTTTTTTGTTTTTGTTTTTAATTTTTAATTTTTGTTTTGCTAGGCCACAAAAAAACACTTGAATTAAAAGTCAAATGAAGATAATACTCTACTACATTTATACAGATCAAATAATCCCATCAATGCTGAGAATTGGAGAGAGAAATTGAAAGGTCTTACGTGAAATCAATACTGGGCTCAACCAAAACCCTCGAACGAAATCCACCTGCAAAAGAGAAAACAGAGGGGTGTTGGCTGAAGAGAACAACATTGATATCTGGTGACAAACCCAGCCACGATCGAACAGCAAGAACCTGCCTCTCCCCAACCGATCCACCGAAAGGGGCAGGAGCTGTAAATATCGTGATTGTGGGAGTTCCCGAATAGCTAAGACCACTGTGAAAGACACTGGATTTGGTGGTCTGATCTTCAATTGAAGAAGATAGAAGCCGAGTAGCATAGAAGGAGAGAGCAATCAAGAGAAACCCAGATAACCAAATCGACCATAAACCGAATTTAACTGCCTGCAAATCAAAATCAAAATTGTTTCTTTAAGAACAATACGAATATATGTGTGTGTGTGAAGATGAAGATGAAGATGGAGATGGAGATGGAGATGGAGATGGGTTGAGAAGAGATGATGAGTACCTTGTTGTTGTAGCAGAAGGGAGAGAGAGGAAAAGAGGGTTTCATTGCTGCTGATGTCAGGAGGAGGAAGAATGAAATGAGGATGGATGGCTTTTGATTTGGATTTTAGGATGTTGGGTTGGAGAGAGAGAGAGAGAGAGAATGAGGAACTTTAACGGACAAAGGAGTATTGTGAAATGTAAGGTACACTAGCACTAGCAGCGCCGCCGCCACAACCCAATGAAGGGAAAGCAGCGGCCACGCCGGGAAGGGCACGAGACAAGGCATGGCATGTGAGGTTTGGCGCCCAGTAAAGCCTTTTTCACACGCAAATAAACGAAGCAGCTTCTCTGGAATTTATTTATTTTTTAAAAAAACTTTCTTTTAATGATCAGATTACTTGTGTCTCGATTAATCACAAAGTATCTTCTTTATGTAAATTGGGTAAATCTCACTCAAAATTTAAGGACATAATCTTAACGAATTGATAACACTTAATACAAGTAGAATTTAAAATATGAGGAGAGAACACCCAAGATCCAAACTCCAGTCATTAAGCCAATTCCTTGTTGCTTCTCTGGAAATATTATACTAGGGTCTTGGAAAAAATTCATGTTGTTCCAATTTATAACATTGTTTAATGTTAGAAAGTGTGGAAAAAATATTTTAAAAACATGTAAATATATTAAAAAGTATATGATGAAATACCAATAAATTCCAAATTATAAACTCGTGCATTAAGTCACAAATCTTTTCTTTTTCACTGGAAAGTCCTAAAACACTAGAGATGACACATTTGTTTCCCTCACTCACGTGTTGCTGTGTTAAACAGGGGCTAATGTGGGTTTCTACTCCTAGTGAAATTACATTTGTGAACAAAAGCCCACTATAGGCTTTTTTACTTTTTCTTCATTTGCGATCAAATCTTACGCTCTAGAAATGGAAACATTGCGATTCCACATTTTCACATTTGTACATTTCCATGTTAATGGAGTGAGTACCTAAATGTGATCGATGGTTTTCGGAAGAGGGATTGTGGGAATTCCACATTTGTCGATTTGGGTGAAACCCTGATTGGATGAAACTCTATCCAGACGGACCACCTTCACTACGCATATAATACCAGAATTGTCACCGCCGGTGAGTGCTTAACGTCATCTTCTCTGGCTAGGCGATGTCTAGACAAGAACGTCAGCGTTTTTCGTCGAGTATGCCGCTACTACAGGTGTTGAAGTAACAGAGGAAGACAATAAAATGCGAAGGTGTGTAATGTTTGATGCTTTTTTGCTTTGATGCGTTTTGCAATGTTTGCATATGATGTGTTTTTGCGATTGCATATGATGTGTTTTTGCTTTCGGTTTGTGAGTCGTAGTACAATCCGTAATTTGTGATTTAATGTGCAATGTTATGTTAGGTTTCATTTTTTCTTGGCATAGTTTTCCAATTTGCATGTGTAACATTGAACGGATGTTGTTGTGGGTTAAATGTTAAAAAAAGGTAGTGTTATTGGTAATGGATGGAATGTGGAGCTTCATGTTAATGTGTCACGAAATCTGGGGAAAATATTGTTCCATTGTGCTGATGGTCATGTGTGTGAGGGTAGAAAATACCCTGTTTTGTTATGGTATTTTTGACATCTAGGTAATGGTTGACACCAATTATCCATTTGGCAGTAATGTGGGATTACGTTGACAAATGTGTGATTGGGATTCACAACATGATATTGATACGTGGTTACAATATTGGGTTTATGTTAACTAATGTGTGGTTGGGATTCTAGACACTTCATTTTAACCAGTCTTAAGACTTTTGCGCCTTCTACTGATTATCCGATGATGAAATTAAGAATATGTTATCTCACAAAATTCTCAGAAAAAAGATGAAATATACACTTTAATTCCAACCTTATATCCGTTTTTGCTAAATTTATTTTAGATCCATTCTCCATTTCCTTTTACATTGTTTTTATATGTATTATATACATATTATGTTATATTATTATATATAATATTTTATTAAATTTATTAGGTGTTGTGGTTTCACCCACGCATCATACTTTTGTATATGTATATATATTAAATATTAAATATTTTATATATTATTATATTATATAAAGTTATTATTCCTCCTTTGAAAATTAACCCAGCCTTCCCACCGTTTGTTATTTTGTTTCTTTTGTTTTAGACTCCTTTGAAAATTAACCCAGCCTTCCCACCGTTTGTTATTTTGTCTCATTTGTTTTAGATCCGATTTGGTCAAATTTTGTTGCATATTTGGCCTTCTAAAATATATTTTATTAGTCCACGTATTTTGTTATTTTATAATTTTACATATTTGTGTGTATTTTATATATTGTTTTAGGTATTTGTATATATATTTATGCTAATAATACATTTTATATATTATTATATTGTAAAGTGCATACTAATTTTACTGTGCAGTGCACAGTAAAATCACTATGCACCTTTTGAAATTAGCTCCTTTCATCATTTGTTATTTTGTCATTTTCTTGATTTTATTTTCTATAAAATGAGAGAGCGAGAGTGGCAAGGATTGGGGAAAAGAATTAAGGGAAAGAATCAAAAAGAGAGAATTGAGAGGAAAAGAGATCAGAAAGAAGAGAAAAAAATAGTTTTTTTAAGAGAGGGAAAAAGAAAATATTAGATATTTTATTTTTTCGAACAAAACATTTCTTTCCAATACGTCCAAACCAACCATTAAAGTTGAAATTCCGAATTTTGAATAGAGAATTGAGAACACATTCTACAACCTTGAGAGTGATCAGAAGAAAGTTTGTAAATCAAAAAAAAAATCATCATTTCCCCGAAAGGTGAATTTTTGCAAACTTTCATTTAATTTAAAATATGATATAATTTGTTTAAATATTTCTTTTATATCTTTTTATAACTATTTTATTGCTTTAACAGGAAAGCTGCACCACTCATATATCCGTTGTAATTTATTATTTTTTTATATAACTGCTTTATTGAAGGCTGCATTACTCACATATCTGTTGTAATTTACTGTCGTATGTAAACTATTGTAATTTATTATTTAAATAAATATTGTAATTTACTACTTATATATAAATTGTTGTAATTTTACCGCTTTAAATGGTTGGTTAACCACCTAATTTGGTAAAGATGTGACCTAACCGGATGAATAGTAATCGACGATGAATAGTAACCTCCGGCAGTGAATAGTGACCTCTGGATGCGAATAGTAACCCCAACGATGAATAGTACCTTCGACGATGAATAGTAACTGCGGACGAAAAATGCCTAGTAAGATGAATAATTAGCAAAGATGGTGAATAGTAACTGCCACGGTGAATAGTACTTTCGGCAATGAATAATGCCCCCGCAATGAATAGTGCTCTCGCAAAATTGAGATTTTTTGAGCACAATAAAGCAATATCCTAGCAGCTAACAGAACCATTTCCGACAGTCGATCTCCGAGGCATATTTCTATTTTCTTTTTAATTTGAGAGTTGTGAGGATTTTTTTTTTCGTAATATTTGTTTTCTCCACTCCTCATTTTATTTGGGTTTGTAATATTTAAAAGTGTTGTAATAATTCTCCGCCTCATTTTTTTTTTTATCTCGTTCTCTTACTTGCTTTTCTTATTTGTGCATAAGCATCATATAGTTTTTTTATATTATATCCATGCTTTGTATCCATGTTTTATGCATCTTGATTCGGCTAAGTTTGTATTTTTGGATTTAATCAATTCCTGCGTAATTATGTACGATACCTCATGTTTTTGAGATGATTCACATGTCATATCTTAGAAGCCGAATCTTTAGTTTCATTTCATGAGTGAATTGCATTAGAATTTTGTATATAAAATCATGCATATTTCACTAACTTTGTTTTGTAGCTGTTCGCAGGACGTCAGTAAAAATGTAAGTTTTTATGCTTTAGCATCCCCCTTGTGTGTGTTTTCCTTACTATGTTTAGCATTTTATCATATGACTAGTTGCTTATTTGATATAACTTTATGAATGTCAGTGGATAGATGTTGTGTCGCTTAATTTGGAATGATGTTGATTTTTATGTTTGACTCAATTTCTTTGAGTTGTACATCTTCAAAACTCTTTCCAAATACATGAAGTCAAATTGTTTCAAAATGAATGGCATAGTTTATACTTGTTTCCTTCACATAGTGAATAAGATTATTAATAATTGGAACATGAACATATAAAATAAATAAAATTCATATCATGGTTAGTAAAGGTCGATCTTTTGATCAGATGAGCGGGGTTGCTCAATTAATGACCTTCGCCTCTCATACCTAAGGTTCCGAACCGAGACAACTTTGATTATGCCGAACAGTGGCCTTGGCACGAGTCATGGGCTTCCTAATTTTGCTAAAAGATTAGGTGGCGACTCCAAGATCTAGTGATGTAGTCCATTTATGGCAATAATTTTGTAATAAAATGGATTTTTTATAAAGTTACGCAATCTGGACACTCATTTATGTTTCACATTGCACTCGTGAGACTAGATCGCAGACCGAACTGTTTAACGCGCGAGGGTACTTCCTGGGCATGTTACAGTTGTAGACAGCCCATTTTAACAGGCCCTAAGACTTGAATGTTTTCTTCTAATTATCTGATGATGAAAATAAGAATATGTTATCTCACAAAATTCTCAATGAAAAGATAGAATGTAAACTTTAATCCCAACCTTACATCCATTTTTGCCAAATTATTTTAGATTCATTCTCCATTTTCTTTTACTTTTTTTTTTATTTGTATTATAATATATATATATATATTAAATATTAAATATTTTATATATTATTATATTATATAAAGTAACTATTCTTCATTTGAAAATTAACTCAACCTTCCCATCATTTGTTATTTTGTTTCTTTTGTTTTAGACTCGCTTTGGTCAAATTATGTTACATATTTGGACTGCTAAAACATATTTTATAAGTCCATTTATTTTGTTATTTTATAATTTTACATGTTGTTGTGTGTTTTATATATTTTTTTAGGTATTTGTACATATATTTATGCTAATAATACCTTTTATATATTATTATATTGTAAAGTGCATAGTAATTTTACTGCGCAGTGCACGGTAAAATCACCGTGCACAGTAAAATCATTGTGCACCTTTTGAAATCAGCTCCTTTCACCGTTTGTTATTTTGTCTTTTTCTTGATTTTATTATCTATAAAAAGGAGAAGAAAGATCATAAAAGAAAGAGGAGAGGATTGAGGGAAAGAATCATAAAGAGAGAAAAAAAATAATAATTTTGTAAAGAAAGTGAAAAGGAAAATATTAGATATTTTATTTTTCTGAACAAAACCTTTCTTTCCAATATGTCCAAACCAACCATTAAAGTTGAAATTCCGAATTTTGTATTGAGAATTTAGAACACATTCCATAACCTTGAGGGTGATCAGAAGAAAGTTTGTAAATCAAAAAAATTTATCATTTTCTCAAAAAGTGAATTTTTGCAAACTTTCATTTAATTTAAAATCTCATAAAACTTATTTAAATACTTACTTTATATCTTTTTATAACTGTTTTATTGCTTTAACGAGAAGGCTGCACCACCCACATATCTGTTATAATTTATAATTATTTGTATATAACTGTTTTATTGCTTCAATGGGAAAGTTGCACTACACACATATCTAT